AAAGATTTGTTTGTTTAATCTATTGTTGCAGTTAGTTGGGTGACTATGTCTTTAGTCCCCCACCCATCTACAATTTGACATGTTCAGCTCATGCTTAGAACAAACAGGCTGGGGGGGTGAAGGTTAAGTTTAAAAAGATGAGACAGAGTGACAGGAGGAGCGATTTGTTTTACAGATGTGTCCGGTTCAATCTTTCATGTCTCTATTAAAAATGTTTGACACCATTTCAAGGCTTCATTTCAACAGTCAATAGCTGCAAATGGCAGAATAAATGCAACTTTATGTTCTTTATTCCACAAATATTTCCAAGAAAATACCAACGATGCACATAAAAGTCAACAAATCATTTTGTTACTTAAAATAAAATACGTATTCTTTTATCTCTGGAGTGGCAAAGTCATTTAACCATAACACTTTTCTATTACGCACCCACTGTTCTACTTGTTGTTTGGATCATGTTCCAGGGTGTATCCTGTAGGCAATTTCATGAGGATAAGGAGAAATGCCATAACAGGAGTAGACTTCTGAATGTCAGCAATGACCTGAAGAGGATTTTTATTTTTATCATTTTGGAGGAAACAATGTTTAAAACATATATTTTGCACAGGAGTTGGTGCAAAGAAGGTAGTCCTGGTTAGAATTCAATTTAAATATTTGAAACTATTTTTTGATATAGCCCCCTTTTTCTTTTGTTCAGTTTACAACTGCAAAGGCAAGCCAGTCTGAGCAGGCTGGGGGATTTAAAATTATTCAATACTGTTGTGCCTTTGGGATCTGGCTTCTTGTCCAATAGTGTCTACCGTCCTAGAGAACAACATTAGTCTAGAATGAAATAATGACCACAGTAAACAGCTTCCTCTCAAGGGCATACAGGCAGAAATTAAGGGACTATGTGAGGTTTCGAAGATGTGAGGGAAGCACACTCCTCTAAAGCTTGCAATCCAACCTTATTCACACAATGTGATCTGCGTTTATTCCTCATACTGTTGATGAAAGTGTGTTCTTCTGAGTGATTATCTCCTCCTCAAAGCAACAACTAGAGCACGTGGACTGTGTCCAGACAAACCTTTACTCTGTGGTGATTATAGCAGAGTCTTTGTACGCATAACCGGTCAAGAAGTTTTATGCTATACATTTAAGTCTTGCAAACATACAATCATAATAAAGCCCTCTGTTTTAGGGTTTACGAAAGTTAAAAACTTGTTTCACTGTGCATTTTATCTCTCTATGTACTTTTGTCTTTATCGCCGCCATGTAACGTATCTGGCCTATTACATTGTTCTGTTAAAATAAAAAATTTTTTAAAATCATACACAAAACCAAGATAATAGACTTGAAGCCCTAAATGCCAGTGGGAATTTTAAAGCGTGTTGCAGTCCAAGAAAGACATCTGGCTAAACTGTGCGAAGGAAGAGCTGAAATATGATGGTTTTCTAACAGATCCCTGATGGTCTCATCAATTTCGAAGGCCACCCCAAAGGGACAGTGTATTGCATTCAGCCTTAGTGACTGTTATTATAGCTACTGGTTGCAGAAGTGTGTTTGAGTACACACACAGAAAAAGAATGATGATCTACCAACACTGTTTATTTTTTATTGATGTAGTGTACTTTTTTAACATGTTGCATTCTGTTGCAGCTGAGTTCACATTCAGCCAGCAGATGTTCTTTAAAACATGTATTTGACACATTCCCATCAAAAGCTTTGAGCTTGTAACGCATGAAGTAATCTGTAATGTCATTATTCAAATGCATTCACCTTCATGCATTTATGAACCTGTTTACTCCTTGTCAGCATTTTAAGAGGCCTGAAGGGCTCGGTAAAGCATATCTGAGTTTCTATGGGATGATCAATGCATGCCTAAAATGCAATTGTATAACACAGCCATGATGCAAATCACCACAGGTTGTAGTTTTATATTGTGATATAAAACTACACAAAATCTACTACATATTGTATCTATGCTCAAATCACATGCTGCATACAACTGCTGGATGTGCACATCCCAGCTACTCTGTGTATAATGACGTATACTACGAGTCTGGAGTTGGCATTCATTGGGTGATAAAATCCTGCAATGCCCTGCAATACGACTAGTTCGTTTGGACACTTGGACACTGCAGACAATGTGAACCCCTTCTTCTTCTTCTTCGTCTTTCAGCTTTTCCCTCTTCAGGGGTCGCCACAGCGAGTCACCCTTCTCAATCTCACTCTGTCCTCTGCATCCTCTGTCCTCACTCCAACTGCCTCCATGTCCTCTCTAACTGCATCCATACATCTTCTCTTTGTCTTTTTCCTGGCAGCTGCATTTCTAACATCCTTCTACCAGTATACCCACTGTCCCTCCTCTGGACATGTCCAAACCATCTCAGTCTGGCCTCTCTAACTTTATCTCCCAGTTGTTCAACCTGTGCTGTACCTCTGATGATCTCATTCCTAATCTTATCCATCCTTGTTACTCCTAAGAAGAACCTCACCATCTTCATTTCTGCCACTTCCAGTTCTTTCTCCTGTCTTTTTGTCAGTGCTTCTGTCTCCAGACCATACAACATAGCTGGTCTCACAACTGTCTTGTAAACTTTTGCTTTGACCTTTGCTGACATCCTTTTATCACAAATCATCCCTGAAACTTTTTTCCATCCACTCCATCCTGCCTGGACTCTCTTATTCACCTCTTTACCCATTTTCCTGGACAGTGGACCCCAAATACTTGAAGTTCTGCACCGTTGTGACCTCTGCTCCTTGTAGCCTCACTGTTCCACCGGCCTCCCTCTCATTCAAACACATACTCTGTCTTACTACGGCTGACTTTCATTCCTCTTCTTTCAAGTGCATACCTCCACCTCTCCAAGTTCTCTTCCACCTGTAAACAACGTGAACCCCTAAATAATGTTAAATACTAGTTAATTTGTGCTGCTCTTCTTTGGTATATAAGGAAATCTAAAACTGAAAAAAATAAATGATGATTTTTTTTTTCCAAAAATAATCAAATAGCTTTCTGCGTGACAAAAAAAACAAACTCTAAAGTAAATATGTTGTCTATCAAGTGTATGATGCTGAGATCAACCACTCACATTGGCTCACGAGGCCCAAACAAGCTCTATAATGGGTCGATGCATGTTTGAAAATCAGAGAATCGTGTCAAAATTAATAAGTTGGAATAAACTTTTCAAAATTGCTAAATGGGCGTACAACAAGGATCTGTTCTAGGACCAATGATCTATTTCTTGTACACTTAAAATGAAGATAAATATGTTGGGATGAAAGGTGCATTACTGCTTTTGTATTTGTTATTTTTCCATTCTTTTTTCCTAAATTCCTACATTTTAGTTCCTCTGAAGCGTCTCTACTCAGATTTTCATACTTTCATAGTTGAACTTTTCCTTTTCCTCTGTCCATCCTAAATGTGTCAAAGTGACTTTGCAGCTTGTCCTTCCCATCTTGACATCTTCTAAGCAACGCAGAAACTCCAGTCCTCTCTCCTGTGGCTGGAGGTCTGTGCGTTCAAAATGCTTACTAAATGTCAGAAGCGGTCAAGCGCTTCCCCAAGAACACAACCCGCCCTAAAAACTGCTGCTGGCCACCTGTCCATCACATCAGCCCTGTCCAAGATGATTGGTTAAGATGTTTAACCCTTTCACGACTCGTCGCTGAGGCAAATCACTGGCAAATGATATGAGCGGCTCTGAAGGGTCCTCAGTGCATTTGTGATTGGAGCAGACAGTGGACACAAATTTCCTTGAGGTGAGGTGATTCTCAACTTGCATCTTGGGACATAGAATTTACTTCAGAAAAAAAAAGCAGGACTGATATTATCTGATGTGCAAGCAAATGGGAAAGTTGATTTTGAGGTGCTCATTTTGTTCTGAGGTACAGGTAACATTTGTAATTTGAGAAGCAAGGGATACATTTTACTTTCCACACGTTACAGTTTCAAACTGTCTGCAAAATAAATGGCTAATTATGGCTTTGAATTCAATAATTAATTATTATCAGCTAAATATTTCTCTATTAAATGAAATGCCGGTTACGTAAAGCTGGGGTTTCAAGCCTGTGGATCCCTCATCTCCTAAGAACCACAACAGATATGTAAGGTTTCTTTTGCACCGAGGTTGTCAAAATAACAAAAAAATAAAAAAAAACATTAAAAATCTGTGTGAAACTGAGTGAGTCCATAAGGCTGACACATTCTTTTTTTAAAGAATATCTTCACAGATGCAACCACAGTTCTTTTTTGTCTATAGTCCTTTAAAAGCTCTTTACATCTTGATGACAACACACACTTAAATAGTAAAAAAAAAATTCATTTGGTCTCAGTCTGCAAACCTTGACTCCTGTATAATGACTTTAAAGCTATCTGTAGTGGTCGAATTAATGTTTCCATGTAACTGATCTTTTATCTTATTCATTCAAATTAGGGACTTTAAAGTGTCAGCTTTAGTAGCTTGAGGGCGTCACCTTCATCTGTACATATTAAAAAGGATTAATAGTTTTCTTCAATCTTTTAAGCTTCAAATAAAAATCAGACTAAATTAAATTCAGGGCTCTAAATCTCACACACCGCTCGTGTTTCTTGTTTGTGTGCATGCCTGCGTGCAGCAAGCTTTTGGTGGAAGCCTTCAGCTGTTTGGAGAAGGCACCTGTGTCCCAGTGATGGGAAACCTTCAAAGGCAGAGGAAGCGACCCAAATAAAGAGCGTTTAAAGACCAGCAGGAACAAACCCACAGAGGAAGAGAGAGAGGCGGAAAACGAAAGCAGTGGCCTGTCTGCCACCTCCTTTGCCCTGTGAATGGTTCGTCCAGGCGCAAAAACACATTTGCCAAATGAAAGGCTGTCCGTCTGCATATTGTGCGAGTGAAAAAGCTAACAGTTGGCACAGGCAGCACGTTGTGGTTCTGACCCTGCTCGGAGAGTCACAGTTCATGTTGCACCAGACCATTTAGCACAGAAAGAAAAAGCAGATAAAAGCCGAGGTCTGTAGATTTTTGTAGCCACTTTACCTCTCTCTGTTGAATTTGAGGGAATGGAGAACCGCTGGTCTCTTCTGCCTCAGGTTCCACAAATGGACGCTGTCGTCAGCCAACGCACTCACCAACGCTCCCTGTCGCACAAACGTGGTCGTTATACTCCGTTTGCTTAACAAAATAAAATGCTCTGAATAAACATGCAACTTTACTGAACACACGAGGCCTCAGCAAAACTTTTTTCCCATGAACACGTCTTCAGATGGCACATTTTCTCTGCAAATATGACATGCATTAGTCACACTGCATTCCCTGGCAGCTTCGCCCAGGTAACGAGGATGATTCACAAGATGTATAAAAGTGTATGTGTGCATGTAGGAGGCACTAAAATCATCTCCATCTCCCTGAGGGCTTGTTGGAGCTGCTGCTGAGTCACAGTTACACAGACGCTAACACACACTCACACACACACAAGCTGAAATACTGCATGTCTCAAATATGATTCAAAACATAACCAGGTTGGTTTTAAGTGACATGGAAAAGCCTGGAAGTCACTTATACCTCTGGTTTACATTTAACCATTTAATATGATAACCTATTTTCACAGAGCCCCACAGTAATAGGTATGAAACACGGAACTTGAAAACAAGCATTATTTCACAGACTCTAATGACGTAACCCACCTCATTGATGAGAAACTGGAGCTGGATGACGGCTGCTCCACTTTCATGCTGACAGTAGCACTCCACTCCCGGTCGTCCAAACCTGAAGGATCTCAGTCAAGGCAAATGTAGTGGCAAAAGTACGTCACCAAACAAATCACAGACATCACAATACGCCCTGCTTTTGTTTTTATTTCTTAAATTGTGACATTAGGAATAAATGTCTCGGCAGACCTGAATCAAAATCCAGATTGTTTTAGCTGATCTTAACCATCATAAACAATTCCCTTAGTAGGGCAAGAAGTCGTCGTTAAATTACTTAACCTTAGAAAACAAGAGGCAGACCCAGTAGAGCAGCAGGATTTCAGGTCAAGATACTTAGTCTTTCAAGGAGACCTGAGACCGGTTCATCTTAGAAAAACAAGAAACTCCCAAGCAGAGAGTATGATATGAACAGATCTGAAAATAACAGCAGAGAGAGAAAATTTGCAGAAGAGAATATAGTTGCTGTGAGATTGACAAGTCCCAGAAAAAAACGCAGAGGCAAATGAGAAAAAGCAGAGGAATGAAAGTTGGGAAAAGACGACAGAATATGTTCTTTTTTTTTTTTTTTGAGGAAAGTGAATGGGTAAGCTTCAGTCGTTCCGCCAAAACGCCTCCGGACTAAAGTGGAGGCTGGGAATTTGTCCTGAGGTTCACACTGACCTGTAACCATTTGAGAACAACAGTACAGTTTATCAGCGTGAGAAAGAATAGGGCGGCTTGTGTGTTCTGTATGTGTCCAAATATGTTTGGTGGAACCAGCATGGAGCTCACAAAGCATGCAGATTTACCAGCCATAATGAGGAAAACTCTCTGATAGTGTCATGCAAATAAAAAACAATAGAAAATATTTTCTATGAGGATAAAGATGTTACCTTGAATAAGAGGGGGAAAAAATGTTTAATCAATAATAAAAGTGTGAATGATCAGAAGGGAGAACCTGTGGTCAGTCTGAATCCACAGCAGAGCACAACTCACCCAGACTCCAGTCAGAAATCAAAGTTAAAGCAACTTAAACACTTCTTAAAAACCCCTTTTAGCCTTTTTAGTTGCATTCAGTTATGCTTCTTTTCCATGAAGCAGCAACTGGCGGATTCAATCTCTGCACCAGTGATGCCTTGGTCTGGAAAAAAAAAATCCACCAGCTCTATTGGATTAAGACACCATACCCTCAGGGGAGTTGAAGAGACTTGAACTGAGACCAGGAGGGTGCAACCAAGTCAGCAACGATCAAATCTTTAAACAGAGCCGTGTGGACAGCTCAGACAAAAAGATTGGAAGTTCTTGTGGCGACCAGCTGCCTCCCTGACCCCAAATGAACTTAGTTATAGTGTGAACACAGTGACAAACAGAAGTTACTGACACCTGAATACATTTTAATTTATAAATAAGAGAGAAAGTTTAATATTGTATTGAAATGCATAGCTGCCTGACAGATGGCAGAATAAAAGATAACCATTCAAAGATTGTACAGTAGTCCCTTGTTTATTACGGGGGTTTCCGTTCTCAGCTCCCCCGCGATAAGTGAAAACCCACAAAGTAGGAAGTAGTACAAGTAGTAAGTAGTAGTTTATTTTAGTATTTATATATAAAGGCATTTTAAACCCTTCCCATACTTTTGCAATATGCCAATGTTTCTCAACTCTAAATGCTCTAAGAGCACAGCATGTCATGATCTCTGCTCTCTCTCTGCCACCAGCTGCTCTCTGCCACCTGACAGTGCTCTAGGCCACGCCCACTTCTCCGATGCAGAGCAGAGATTGACATGCTCCAGGAGAGAGCTTCTCCCTGCACATGTGGGCTGCACAAAGGTGCAATAGGCGCTAAATAATTTAAAATTGTTAATTAAAAAAATCCATGCCAATTGCGTGGCTCGTCCCTCAGTCAGCCAAATGTGTGTCATGTCCAAGCTTACTTTGAAAAACTGCGAAGTAGCGAGTCCGCAAAAGTCGAACCATGAAGTAGCGAGGGACTACTGTATTTGTATGTTTTTCTTCATCCACAATACTGTCCCCCAACAAGCCTGTCTACGATCTCAATGGTATTTGAATGTTTTTTTTTGTTGTTATTTACCTTGGGAAAAAAAAAAGGTACAACCTGTCCCTCTACTAAATAAGTTGTGAGAAGATATTTGGATGAAGAATGTAGTTCAAGAAGATAACTGCTGCTCAGAACAGTCAAAGTTTACAGCTTCTTTCACTGGAACAAATTAATTAATAAATAAAAACATCATCTGAGTGTAACAGAGGCAAAAAGCTCATCAGCACGCACCACTACACTGTGACTCCCTGTGGATGAGATAATGGGACCCTGTAGTTTTATCCATTTGACTTAGTAAGCCAGCTATCTTTCAGGAGAATCTCCTGGTCTAACTGGCACAGACTCAGAGGGACACTGACAGGCTTGTACAGGAAATATGTGAGTACCGTATTGTTTTACTATACAGTTTTCAAGGTCAAAGAGGAACTAATATTTTTATTGTGATTGGATATAAACTGCAATATGATCTTCTTGCTTCTTGTCATAACATAACATTGTTATAAAGTTTGACTTTGATGTGTGGCGGCCTTGACCCTGGAGCTGGGGTGTTGAAAAGTATATGCAACACTGTCTACTGATGATGCATATGTGTATCAAGTTTCATTAAATTATCTTGAGCAGATCAGAAGTTATGGGCAGGACATGAGAATTTTTGCAGATGTTGATACCATACCACTTTATTTATAAAGCACTTAAAAACAGCAACAAGGCCAACCAAAGTGCTGCACAGCAAAACAAAACAAGCAAAGGACACAGGATAAAATACATAGAACTAAACAGGAAAAGATAAGAACTAATTGGCTAAGATTATATAATAGGCAAGTCTCAGTGTCAAAAGCCAAGGAATAAAAGTGTGTTTTCAAACTAGACTTAAAAACAGTGAGAGAGGGAGCCTGTCTGACATGCAGTGGTAACTCATTCCACAGTTTTGGACCTACAACAGAGAAGGTCCTGTCACCTCTAAGCTTCAAATGAGTGCCTGGAACCAATACAAGCATCTGGTCTGCTGACCTAAGAAAGCACTGTGGGACATATGGCTGCAGCAGATCAGTGAGATAAGAGGGAGCAGAACTGTTGAGAGATTTAAAAACATACCGAAGGATTTTAAAATGAATTCTAAAGTGAACTGGGAGCCAGTGAAGGGAGGTCCGAACTGGTGTAATGTGTTCTCTTTTACCTGTACAAGTAAAAAATTGGGCTGCAACATTTTGAACTAGTTGTAAACGTGCAATGGAGGTCTGACTGATTCCAAAAAGAAGTGCATTGCAGTAATCAAGCCTGGATGTTATGAAAGCATGTACACTGTTTCAAGGTTACTTTTGGACAGTATGGGCTTCAGTTTAGACAGTTGCTTCAACTGAAGAAAACAGGATTTAACTATCGTGTTTACGTGACCGTTTAGTTTCATAGAAGGGTCCATTTTCACTCCCAGAACAGTGACCACTTGTTTCTCTAACGGGGCTAGAGAGGAAAGGTCGATACAGTGGTTCTTGATTGTGTCATTAGGTGGAAATAACATGACTGCTGTCTTGTTCTCATGAAAATTCAAGAAACTCAAAGCCATCCAATCCCTGACGTCAACCAGGCAGTCAAGAAGAGGTTGGATAGAGCGTGCACCCATGTGCTTTAGAAGGAAGTAAATTTTACAGTCATCGGCGTAAAAATGAAAAGGTATGCCGTGTTTACGAAAAACGGCACCTAGTGGCAGCAGGTATAAAGTAGAAGATTGATGTAGGAGACTATACCACAATATATCCACCTTTTGACGGGCGTATACAAGTTTCATATTGGTTTAGACAAAGCTATTGCGCACCACAGTCAAGTGAAACTGACTGCGACATGGTTATACTAGCAGAAATCTTTTGGTATTCCTACAGAAAGTGCACATTTACAACTAGCTTTGTGATAGAGTTGTACGTAAATGACTAGGCAATGCATAAATATAGCTATAGGCTTAAAAATGTTCTCACTCTAAAATGTGTGCATCATCTCTGATTAAAAGATACACAGGTGCAAGTTTAAAGTCAGTCAGGATGGTTTGGACTCGACAACAGAACAGACCAACTAGCTCAAAGTGACTTAATTGAAAGCTCTGTCACAATGTTGCCTGGCAACCAAATCTTTCAGGGGCTCAGAAAGACGAAGGATTTAAGGGTTGTGCTTTTTAAACTGCTCATTTTGCCTTCTACTGGAAAGGAGCCAGCCATCCCAAAGTCTCATTATCCTAGAGTCACACGCGCACACACACCGCCACACACACACATACACAAATTTAGTGTGTAAAATATCCCTCAGAATAAATTCACATCTAAAAATTACTGAAAGGCCAAAGCTGATGTTTAAAATTGATTAAGATTTATTGTAATAAATGGCTCACAGCAACAAAACACACACTCTCTACTTATACATAAAAATGATCTCAATTATAGAAAAGACCATTTCACCTGAAAGGTAATCACATACTCGTGACGTTTTTTTTGAAGGTCACTCTTGCTTCTTCAAATATCTGTCGGTAATTGAATCTTGATTCAAGACATGAAAGCGCTCGTTTGTTTTTATAAACCTGTGGCACATTTAAACTCGCTTTGTCAAAAAAGCATTTCTTATAAATGCAATTTTCTTCTGGCAGTGTGCTTTGCTTTAATTTCACACCAGGATGGAGAGAAACATTTTTATTTCCCTTCAATGAGTTTGTTTCACATCACTGGTTTCTGACTTGCTAAAATATTTAGAAAATAGTATACATGGCTACAATTATATTCCTAATATTGTGATTATCTCCATCTCCATCTGCTTATCTGTGGTGGGGTCATGAAGGCAACAGGTCCAAGAGAGAAACCCAGACATGCCCCTCCCCAGCTCCTCCTGGGGGAACCCCAAGGCGTTCCCAGAGATTCTACACAATCCTTCCAGGATGTTCTGGGTCTGCCCTGGGGCCTCTTGCCACTGATACATGCTTGGAAAACCTCCAAAGGAAGGCGTGCAGGAGGCACCCTAATCATACGACCAAACCACCTCAAC